CATTGCAAGTGCCAACACTTGGTCACAGCAGCTGCGTCCAGGCCGGATGGAGGATAGGGAGATGTGAAGAGTGGGGAGAAGGCGGGGAAGGGAAGTTGTTGGAGGGTATGATGGAGGAAAGAGTGATGCGATGGTTGGTGAGCGAATGATGGCTGTGCACGGAGTGATGGAAAGAGCTGAGGTTGAGCAATGCAATGCTTAAAGAGCTGGAGCAACAACTTGGGTCCATTCGTTTTTTTCAGTTTCATTAAATTTTTTCATTTATTTGGTATAGCCCTGTGAGCCATTCGGCTCTTGAATCGGGTGCAACCGCAACAAACAGGGGGCAGAGTTGAGTACTGGGGTAGTTGTGTTCGTATTTGAGGTGTGTGGTGAGTGGTGATGCTCACGTGGGAACGCACGAGCCTGGACCGTGTTGTAATACATGGAGGAGAGAAGGGAATGTGATGGGTAGTGAGGTAAGTGTTGGTGTGAGGAGTATTGTAGCTCTAGAGGAATGTGGTTTAACACATAGGCTTTCGCGACCAATATTATTAATAATAAACGTGTTTTGGTTAGATCGCGTTATTTATTCTATTCTGGAAAATTGCCCGATGATGCTGGATGTAATTACCAGCGAAACGTCGTACTCAAAAATTGTAAATGTTGTGGATTCACTCTTCAACACACCGGTGGGCTAAATTACTGAACTATTTGTCTTTTGTCAACGTGACACTTTTTTACTGTTTGGCCGTGTCGGGTGGTGGAGGGTTACGACACATTTATAAATAACGCGATCTAACTCGAAAACGTTTATTATGAACTAGAGGAATGTGATTGGAGAAGGGAGTTTTTTTGCGTGGTAATGTCTTTGTACGTCAAACTTCTTTCACACCGTACTTAGCTAACCGTGCTGAATCGGGGGTGCAGGGTGATGGCGCTAGTGGTGAGGGAAGGGGAAGAATAGAGGTGAGGGAAATGTGTGCTGATGAGATGAGAAAATGTGGTGAGGGAAGGTGAGGAGAGTGGATGTGCTGGTGAAGATGTGGTGATGTGGTGTTGGGGTGAGACTGGTGATGTTAAAGCAGGGGTGGGGAACCTTTTTTCTGCCAAGGGCCATTTGGATATTTATAACATCATTCGCGGGCCATACAAAATTATCAACTTAAAAATGAGCCTGTTTTATTTGGTCAAACATTTAATTAACTCACCCCTAATGTGATGGCTGGAACTGCTTCTCTTTGGCGAGGCGTGTGATGTTAGCTGGCTATTGATGATGTTGCTGCTACTCGCAACTGCTTTTCCAGGTTTGCTCCTAGATGTATTGAATTTCGAGTCCCGCCTGCAGTTGCCTTGGCAGGGCCACACCAAATGATTTCGTGGGCCTTGTACGGCCCGCGGACCTGACGTTCCCCACCCCTGTGTTCGAGTATGGTGTGTTAGAATGTTTAACACGTCGGCTTTCGTGTTTACGTGTTATGGTTTTTACTTTTTCCCTAACCAAAAATAGCTCCGTCAGCCATTGTATTTAAAACGGGTGATATTCTTTTCACACTCCGAGACCGATATCACTGGAGAAAATACCACTTCTCACACTGTTATTTTTAGCTTTCAAATGTTTTATTGTAATATTGTTTAAAGCAAAAATCGCGTTTTAATGCTCCCTTAACCTCATGTACTTGTTTAAACCCATACTTTGTCTGACATTTTGATGCCAAACTATTTCAAATAAGTTTTGAGATTAGTTTTAAATTTATTTCGCGTTTGTTTCGTGGGGGAATTAAGTTTAAACCTTGTTTTGCCCGCTACCACACGGTTTTAGACCATTCATTAGCACAGAACGTAGTTTAAACCAGTTTTTGCGAGAATAAATCTGTTTAAGTTGGCGTTTTCGTTGCAATAGCGCCCCTAGTGGCAGTTTGTGCGAGGAAACCGGGTTTAACCCCAAGAAGTTGCTTTAAACCGGTTTAAACCCATATAGTTGCAACAGCGCCCTCTAGTGGTGAGATGATATACAAAAAAATTGTACTAAATAAGAAAATAAAATGTTTTTGTTCGATCCTATTTCTCTGCATGGTGGTTCTCTTTCTCCCCACCATCCTCAACTCTACATCGTCTCCGTCTCCAGGTCGCCTTCTTCACCATGGTCACGCCGTGGGTCTCCATCACACCTGTGGTTACCCCTGTTCAAGGGGAAGGGACAAACATACGTTAGTTGTTATTCACACACTCACCTGGAGTAAACTCACCTTGTTGTTTCCACGTTTATTTCGTTGTGCGCCCGTCTGATGATGGGATTTGAACCCGGCTTCAGCATCCTGGTCCAGGGTCGGTAGCCTCAGGTGCGTTCCCGCTGCACTACGAAGCCACACGCTGAGTGAAGGTTGTGATGGCAATTATAAGGCGTGAACGTTGCGTGGCCTGGGCACTCTTAGTACGTGATGACGTCATCACGTTCCTTCCCGCAAGTCTAGCCTCGGCCCGTCATCGCGCACGACGGTGAGGTCATCACGCACGCCAAAAATAATTACTAAAAAGGTTGCGAGTGGGATTCGAACCCAGGTGTTAAAACTCCAGAGGCGGGCGCGCTATGGCTTATGCTATATAGACTTGTTGTTCGTTTAAATGCTCTGGTTATTATATAATTGATATGATTTTAGCAATTATTTTAAACAAAATTCATTGATATTTTAAAAAGTAACAAAAAAATATGAACCCCTTGTTTATGAAAGAAAAAAATAAAGTTTACGACAAAAAATGTAAACATTTGTATTGAAATTTGTTCAACTTTCAAGAATAAAATGCTGGATTTGAACCAAAAGACTCACATCTACAATCCCACGGCCCTCTCCACTCCCACTCAACCAACCCACCCACCCACCACCCTGGTGTTGAGAAGCCGCAGCTTATATGACTGGAGACCCGGCTTCCACTGCTGGGGCCGTTAAAGACCCATCATCGCTTGACTGGACTTGGGGGTGGTGGTGGTGATCAAATGACACTCCCGCGAACGAAGGATGTGGCAGCAGGAACAGCAGCGCAGATTTCATGGCGAAGCCTGACGCAGTCTAAACCCAGTAAACATGGAACGGTGGCTCAACGTTGGATCAACCTCTTAGGTTTTTTCGGTAAAGTCACGTAGGTAAAACAATAATAATAAAATAATAAATGAAAATAACTCAATTAAATCACGACGTTTCGGAGGCAACACGAGTCTCCGTCTTCAGGTGGGACCGTCACAGCTAAATGTACCATATCAAGTGAAGAGAAATCCAAGAGACAAGATCTTAAATACTGGTTAGGGGTTGGGGGAGGGGCTTATCTAAATGTGGCAGTCAGGGACTGGGAGGGTGGGGGGGATAGAAGAGAAGGTAGGCGGGGCTAGAAGGGGAAGGTGGGCGGGGCTAGATGGGAAGGTGGGCGGGGCTAGATGGGAAGGTGGGCGGGGCTAGATGGGGAAGGTGGGCGGGGCTAGATGGGAAGGTGGGCGGGGCTAGATGGGAAGGTGGGCGGGGCTAGATGGGGAAGATGGGCGGGGCTAGATGGGAAGGTGGGCGGGGCTAGAAGGGAAGGTGGGCGGGGCTAGATGGGAAGGTGGGCGGGGCTAGATGGGAAGGTGGGCGGGGCTAGAAGGGAAGGTGGGCGGGGCTAGAAGGGAAGGTGGGCGGGGCTAGATGGGAAGGTGGGCGGGGCTAGAAGGGGAAGGTGGGCGGGGCTAGAAGGGGAAGGTGGGCGGGGCTAGATGGGAAGGTGGGCGGGGCTAGATGGGGAGGTGGGCGGGGCTAGATGGGAAGGTGGGCGGGGCTAGAAGGGGAGGTGGGCGGGGCTAGATGGGAAGGTGGGCGGGGCTAGAAGGGGAAGGTGGGCGGGGCTAGATGGGGAAGGTGGGCGGGGCTAGATGGGGAAGGTGGGCGGGGCTAGATGGGAAGGTGGGCGGGGCTAGATGGGGAAGGTGGGCGGGGCTAGATGGGGAAGGTGGGCGGGGCTAGATGGGAAGGTGGGCGGGGCTAGATGGGAAGGTGGGCGGGGCTAGAAGGGGAAGGTGGGCGGGGCTAGAAGGGGGAAAGTGGGCGGGGCTAGAGGGGAAGGTGGGCGGGGCTAGAAGGGGAAGGTGGGCGGGGCTAGATGGGGAAGGTGGGCGGGGCTAGATGGGAAGGTGGGCGGGGCTAGAAGGGAAGGTGGGCGGGGCTAGAAGGGGAAGGTGGGCGGGGCTAGATGGGAAGGTGGGCGGGGCTAGAAGGGAAGGTGGGCGGGGCTAGATGGGGAAGGTGGGCGGGGCTAGAAGGGAAGGTGGGCGGGGCTAGAAGGGGAAGGTGGGCGGGGCTAGAAGGGGAAGGTGGGCGGGGCTAGAAGGGTAAGGTGCAAGTGAAGAACCTCCACGGGGGTTCCGGCCGATGTTGGCTGCCACAAAGTTTTGGCTTGGGTTTCGTGCAATGTCCTGTAACTGCCGACACTGCTGAGCTCAATAGGGCCTCACCAGCTTAATCAACAATCCAGTGTTGAGAGTGGTTTGCCTGTTAATCGGTGGTGCATTTGTTCTCGCAATACACCGTGAACTTTCCTGCCAGTTTGATTCTCGGCCAAGACTAACGTGCAAAGCAATAAATTCCTGAACATGCCAGACCTACCCACGTGCCCCTCCTCAGGATCACACAGATGCCTCACGCATTACGCAGTCAGCACCACAACTTTACAGGTAATCATTACCAGGACATCACATCACACGAGCAAACATGAACAATGATAACTCTGCACGCAATAGCATAGAGTGACAGAGTTATGTCAACTAAAAACGGTTTGATGAAGAGTGCATTTGATGAACAATGATTTGTCTACAGAGCACACAACTGCAGGTAATCGTATGACCTGTCATTTGATTGGAAGTATAAATTCCAGCCGGTCACAAAGAGGAGCATTGGTCAGATGCAACCAGAATTGTGCAAATATATGTATTTTTACCACAGACAAAAATCAGAGAATACTATATTACTCTCGGTCACTGCCAGCAACGATTGATATCATGTATCATGGCCGTCAGTGTGCACCCTCATTCAGAATTTTCACGTTGGAGAAAAATAATATTCCATGAATGTTCAATAAAATAAAACAAGATGACCTTTTGCGTGAGCACATTTATTGAAATGGGGGGGCGGGCGGGGTGGAGTTTGGCAACTATTGTTGCACCACGTGCAGTCCGGCCAATACAAAAAACTAAATCAACTTCACTATTCAGAAATGTTAATTAAACTAGTTCACATTTGTAATCAAAGTGAAATTAGTGTTTAATTTTAAGTGCGTATCATTTACATACATTTCTAATTCCAGCATGTCAGGCAAATGTGCAACAGCTTAATTATTGAATTACATTCTACGCTTTTTTATTGTGCGTGTAAGAAAATGCTTGCCAACTTTGCAAAATACCATTTAAGGAAATGTACCTTTAAAGCAGAGACAAAATCCACAACAAGTGCGATACAGCACGAAATTACTTTCCAGGTTCTTCATATATCACTATACCCTGTCAATGCAATAGCGCTTACAATTTCAGGAAATATTTAACACGATCCATGGATCACCAATGGTAAGAAATAATATTCAAAGCGCACGTTTTTTACATGATGAATGCAAACACTAGAGGTGGCCTGGTGGCTGGCAGTGTTGATGTGAGCTTGGGTTTAACATTAGGCAGCCGCCTGTGATTAAACCAGGTTCTCGATTGTATTGAACCAATCGATGGTCTCAGCTCAGTCACCAATGACTGCACAAATGCAAATGTCAATTGGAGCACTGAGAATTAAAACATTTCTCTCATTGTCGAGTGGGTGCTAAAGTGCTGCGCTCTACTGTAAGGATCAGAGGTCACTTGAAGAAATCTAAAAAAGAGGATGTATCCCTGAAATCCACTTCCATGGGCCGTTAACCAACATGAAGGGCTGCACTGCTCTGTGAGATTTCGGAATGAACTCATCATGATGCCGAATGCACAATCGGGATGGAACTGGAGATTAAAAAAAATATCCAAAGACAAGTAAACGTGGAGATCTGTACCATACCAGCATGTAAGGAAAGAATGGCTGCTTTTACAAGGTTGGCATGTAATTATTACAAAGGTTGCAAGCATATTCAAGAATAACTTTTGCTCCAGCAGCATCAAATCATCTCCTGCAAGGGCAGGCGGGATGGGCGTGCGGATAGACGTACTCGCTCAGCGGAAATAGTTAGGGCAATCGTGCGCACTGAGCTCCCAGGCCTGCTGGTAAGCCGCCACCACCGTCTCATCCAGGGGGCCCTGCTTGCTCGCCGCCAGGTTCTGCGAGAGCTGCTCAGGAGACGAAGCGCCCAAGATGACGCCATCGCCGGCCTCTCCCTGCAAAATTCACATCATCATCATCACCATTAATGGGCAGATGGCCGATAGTAATTTTTTCCACTTTCCTCTGTCTTGCGCAAATATGCGCAACTTCTTCCTGGCACAAAGCTCGCATGTCATCATCAAGCCGTTCATTCTCTTTCGATTTAAAGCTTTCATGACTGCAGGGATTCATCTTGTTGGTTCTTTCGGTAAAGTCACGTAGAAGGGAAATAATAAAATAATTTGTATTTTTCTTATTTTATCATTTACCTTCTACGTGACTTTACCGAAAGAACCAAGAAGACGTTCATTCTCTGTTAGGTCTTCCTCTCTTTCCGGTTTATTACATTTTTCTCGAACAACACACTTAACATTTTTCTGTTGTTGTCCATCCTACATGTGTCCAAATAGTGCCATTTGTCTTCTCATCACTGCCTGCATCTGGCATCCTTCTATGTGCAACCTTTTTCTTCTAAAATGGTCACTCGTTGGGTTCAGCATAGATGCAGTATCCTTCTGCAGCAACGCATTTCGAGTGCAAATATCTTAGCTCTGTCAGTCGCAAAATTCACAACATGTTATTAATTTACCGAAACGCTCACAATCACAAGCTGAGCAGCCTACACTGCAAGGGCTCTAAGGAGACAACATGTAGACACACTTTCTGGGTCACTGGTAGGATGGATTGGGCATGTGCCTGGTATCCACAGCCAGTGAGAGTTATACTGGATGTGGGTGCAGAAATAATTTCCAGGTCACCAACCCGGACAGACCAAACTGAAATAAGTCCTAAGATCTGCACGCACGCTCAGCCTTGAGTGGTGGTACATCCAGCGCAGAGCGGCCTCCGTCAGTGACACCTTGCCCTCCCCGTAGGCCACGTTCAGGGCCTCGCGCACCAGATCGATTCCCGCAAAGTGGTGCTTTTTCCAGTACCTGTGAGAGCCAAAAGCACACCGTCATTAAAAGTCTCCCACCCACAAAGGTCGGAACATAGCGGGAATGCAAAGATGCATCGATTCACAGAATAAGATATATTATTACGATTTAAATACATCCATTGAATCGTTTGCTTGAGAATCAACTTGGGCATTGGCAGAGAAATTGGGAAAAAAGCTGAAAAGGTATAAGGCGGCATGGAGAAGTACATGCTTGGAATTACACTGATACATGCAACAGAACACATTGAATGGAGAAAATACAAGTTAGACATACTCTTTGGTTTTTTCGGTAAAGTCATGTAGGTAAAAAATAAAATAAATGAAAACAACTAAATTAAATTTCAATTTAAAGCTTTCGTGACAGCAGGGATTCATCTTCTTGGTTCTTTCGGTAAAGTCACGTAGAATGGAAATAATAAAATAATAAAAAGAAAACATTAAATAATTCTCACGACGTTTCGGCCACAATGCAAGCAGCCGTCCTCAGGTGGAGAACAGGTCTGTCGAGAAGACAGAGTCTGAACTAAATTAAATCACGTTTCGGGCGCAACACAAGCATCCTTCTTCAGGTGGGGACAACGTAGCGAAAGCACAACCACTTAAGCACAACCACTTAAGCACAACCACTTAAGCACAACCACTTAAGCGGTTGTGCTTTCGCTACGTTGTCCTCACCTGAAGAAGGATGGCTTGTGTTGCGCCAGAAACGTCGTGATTTAATTTAGTTGTTTTCATTTATCTTATTTTATTTTTTACCTATGTGACTTTACCGAAAAAACCAAGAGAGTATGAATCCTTGCAGTCACAAAAGCTTCAAACCTAGCTTCAAATCAAGTTAGACATGTTGACCGTTATGAAAAGTGGGTTTTGTGCAGGGCACATCGCTTGAAGGGATGACTGCAGGTGCTCAAGACTAATGATGGAGCATAAGCCAAAGGAAAAATAAATATTTACAAGAGGAAATTCACCGCAGAAATGATCAAATCCCTTCATGTGCGGTCGCTACATAGATTGTTACCTTGCAATACCATGCGAAATGAATATAATGACGGGAAGCCTTCATCCACATTGGATTATCCATGGCTGATGAGGAAAATGCTAATTATATGCGAACATTACAATTAGACTAATAGAGCAAAGAAAATTGCTCAAACAAGACAAAACACACAAGAAACAATACAAATAAAGCAAATAAACTGAATTGGTACTGTCATGAATTGTGATAACAAATCAAATTGCCAAGGGGGAGGGGATTACCTATGACATATACGTAGAAGCCAGGCTAAAAGAGATTTTGCCCCCAGTGGCCGAGCGTACCTGTTGCGGTAGGCTTCGGCCCAGTCATTCCCAAAAAACCTCCCTTCTGGCTTCTTTGTGTCCTTGTCCTCGTAGCAATATTTGCCCGTGAGCAGTCCCCCTTGCGCACGAGCGAAATGAGACCAAACGCGACGTTAAAAGCCTGAGCACACAAACATATTGTGCTCATTAAATTGTATGTGCAATGCAGTCAACACTTGATTATCCGGGGTAATGGGAGGGGTGCCCATCTACATTGTAATGAGTTTACAGGAATCCTGAAGCCACTAGGAGGCGCTACAATCACCACAATGTTGAAGAAAAAACACTTCTTGAATAAAATCACAGCCTCGAATAATGAAATTAGTGCCCAAATGTAAGTTCCACAATTTATGTACAATTCTAATTTGAACGTCAGTCACATTTATAGTGACGCAGATCGGAGACGGTAATACTTAGAGGCACTTCTTTAATAAACAAGCACCACTGGGATATATACACATCCTACATGGGTGCGCACTATTATAATTAAGACCGTCTATTTGTTCGGCGGCACTACTTAGTTAGAACAGTTGGTGAGCTGTCTGACTACCAGCACCCCGGGGTGGTGAAGACGGAGACGACGACGAGATGGTGACGACGATGATCTTGAACAGCACGACGGGGATTCCACTTCCTGCAACAGCCCCGAGCTCCCGCTCAGGGCCCCCCCTTTTACTCCCCAGCGTGGCCTTGCTCCGCCCCGGCCACGCCCCCCTTCTGGAACCTACTAGCGGGTTCCTGGGGTTTCCCGCTGAGCCCCTTCTGTGACCTTTGCCCTCGATGTCCCCCTCTCGTATATATCGTGGCCTGCTGACGCGAGTACTGCCGTACACCGCAGTTACCCTTTTCCACCGGCAGTTAGCGCTATATCACTACACATTCGTAACAGCGTAATCATTGAGTTATCGTCTAGACTCTTTGCATGTGCATTTCAGTAAATGCCTGCCAACTTTTCAAAAGACAAATCCTCTTAAAAAGAGGCATAAGCCACAACAAACGTCCCACACATTCTCCACAACCTCGAATCATGACAATTCATGGAGTCGCCGCGTGATGCGAAGGCGTCACACGCTTGGTAAATCTGCGCTGCGTTCACCACCTCCAATGCCTTGCTTCGTCTAACGGAACAGCCTAAGCGCAGGTTGGGACAAGTGCCCGCACACCGACGCCCCGCTCGCGCATACCGGCCAGAGGATTGTAGGCGTAGAAGCGCATGTTGAAGCGACGCAGGCAGGGCAACAGCTCGGTCTCCACCTGGCGCGTGCAGGCGTTGTACATGCCCTGGTACAGGCTCGGCAGCACCCAGTTGTTGAAGTGGCAAATGTGCCACACCTCGGCCACCTCCCACGATGAGTAGTTGGACAGGCCTAGCTCTTTGAACTTGCCCTGCAGGAGGTAAAGAGGAGGAATGCATTTCATGTCAGGGCAGCACAGTAATGCATTTTTTGTTGTTGTTCATTTTATGAAAATCTTTTTACCAAGTGTTATCCTGATATTGCTGTCAGCATCATTTCATGAGATATAGTCTTTATTCTGCAGGGCAGTGCAATCCTGAATGTTAGAAAATGGCCAAAGAAGTGGATATCACATAATTACCTCCGAGATCCCTTCAAGTGACCTTTGGTCCACATAGTAATAATTATCAACACTAGTTTAGACAAACTAAGTGCAGAACCAAATTTAATATTAAGAGTTTCACCCTCCCTCCCACCCGCGAGTCAAACGACTGTGCAATCACGTGCTCAGATACATTTTTAGGTTGTGCACATTTATGCAAAGCACCCTGTGAGTGGATCTGTGTTGGTAGTTATGAAATTCCTGGCCTTGCACCGCACCAAGGGCCAGAAGTTAATGTCTACCAATATACACGTTGCGTGCATATCACCCAAATGTAATGCAAATGATATTTGCATCTAGCCACTGTGGTGGCACCACTGTGGCGATGTTAACTACCTCGCCGGGTATATAGGACGTCGTCGGCTCGATCCAGACCCTGACACATGTATATTTGGAGTTGCATGTTCTCCCCATGGTCTCGTCGATTTTTCTCCAGGTCCACCGGTTTTCCCCTCCACATTTAAGAGTATTTGGCTGCTATAAATTTCCACGTGATAATATGCCACTTTGTTGAGCTATCATTTGTGGCCAGGTCGCTTCTGAAAAAGAGCTATACACTCAGTTGGCTTTACCTGGTCAAATAAAGAAAAGTTTAGTTTCAAATGAAACAGATTGCCCCGAGTCCAGACTATAGCAAATGTGAGGATGGGTGGAGTGGTGTTTATCAACTCACTAAACAATACACCGGATGTTTCAGATAGACTCCAACTCCAGGCGACCCACCAATTCCACAGTCTAAGCTCTCTGAGCTACAGATCCCAACCACCACTACATCCAACATAACCAATCACCCTCACCTCCCAAGAGGATGGGTCTCTGTCCTTGCCCCATGGCAGATCGGTCGATCTGTAACCACCGGGACAAACATAGGTCCAACGTCGTACTTGCCCACCCCACCAAATTAAGTGGTGGGCTGCCAATTTTCAAATCCTTTTACCGCATACTGAATTTAAAGCTAAACAAATAGTTTAACACGTAGGCTTTGCGACCAATATCATCCATAAAAGAGGTGGTTTGGGTTAGATCGCGTAAATATATGTGTCGTTTAAACCCGCCCCCACCCGACACAGCCAACTAATGAGGGTTGTCATGTAAACAGAAGATTAGAGAATCTATCGAAGTTGAAATAAATCAAAACAATGTTAACCGTTCAGATAGCTACCGCCTTAGTGCTGCGTGGAAGCGAATCATCAAATAACACATTATTTAAATGCATGCCTATAAAGGGCACCATACTTCAATAGGGATTACCGTTGGTACGGCTATTTTAATACACACAATAGACAGGAAGGACAAGATCAAAGGGCTCACATAATGCACATGCATAATGTACATTGACTCATAAATCCCCATCCACACTCTGCGCAAGAGCGCAGAAGTGTGGCCACCACATCTAAGCCTCTTTATAAGGAACGAAACAGTTAGACTTCTCCACAAATCTGACTGTCGCCTGATGAAGCTAGTTGTAATTACTGGCGAAACGTCGTACTCAGATTGTAAATGTTGTGGCTTGGCTCTCCAACACACAACCGGTGTGCTGTACTAGTGACGAATTGGCGACGTTCTGTTTACGTGACAACCCTTACTAGTTGGCCGTGTCGGGTGGTGGCAGGTTTTAACGACACATTTATATATTTACGCGATCTAACCCAAAAAACCTCTACGAACCAAACAGGTTCACAGAATGTACTATATGTATATATTCAGCAATTAGTTGCTACGTGGCAGGTGACGGCCGTGCCTCCTGGTGGAGCGCGTGGCAGCCGGCGAGCGTCTCCTCTAGCGGTGTGTTGTGGTCGGGCGCGTGTAGATAGAACACGTCCGCTGAGGAGCGACGCAGGCGCTGCAGGGATGTGCCGAGCTGAACGCCCAGGCTGTCAGCTTTCAGGGTGTTGGTGCCCCATGGGTTCGCCTTGGTGTCCACGCTCACTGAAAGCCAGAAAGACACAACGAGCATACACACTGATATTAAGAAGCCGCTGGAGCTATGCATTTTAAAATCTAGATTGAAAACTAATTTCTTTAAAACTGCTTTTTGTGTTTAATTTATTGACCTTCCCCCCACACTTCCAATAAGCGTGGTTTGCTACATACGGTGCAAAAGAAGTTCAACATACATACACGGCGGATAAAACAGGTATTGATAAAACTCTGATCAACGTCTGCACTTAGTCTTGTTATGAAGGATGCCTGGGTGTCTCTCCTTCACTTTTGTCTGTGGAAGACCTCCTCCCTCCCTCCCTTGTTGTCACCTCAGCCACTTTCATGTTCTCCCTCCATCTCATCTTCAGTCTTCCTCAGCCTCTCCTTCCTCCAATCTCATTTTGAGAACTCTGAAAATGTTTACCTCCTCACTCCGCACAATAGGGCCATACCCTCTCAGTCCTGTTTTCGCTTTGTCAACAATATCTCATATCCCCTGGTATTTTCTGATGCCATCACTTCTCACCATCTAATTTACATGCCTCCACATATAAAGAAACATATTTTCAGTCCAATTTTGGCTTTCCAGACCAATATTGTCCAGCAGTATTTGTTTAAACAAGAAAACTCTGGACTGGTTTAGACCTTCTGGGTATGATCAGTACAGTTACGTTTGTTAAATAAATGCTGTAGGATTTTCAGATGTTATTGGCAAGGTACTCAATATAAACTATGGGACCCCCTTCTTAAAAAGCAAAACTTTACAAAAACTCATGGGTAAATGGTGTAAAAATTTTCAACATTAAATTATTTGGCAGCAAATTTTTTTTATTTATTTAAACAATCATTTATGTTTTCACATCCACATGGAAGAAAACGAAGGTGTGGGGCCGCTCAGGGCAGTTACCGACCTTGGTTCTCAAACGTCCCGCCAGTGCCGCAGAGAGTGCCCAGGATCTCCTCGGAGCGCCCGCCCGCATACATGAACGCTGTGTCCAGGTGCCGGTGCCCACCGGCCGTGAAGAGCCGCGTCATCTCACGACTCATGGCCTCGTCCGGCACGCCGACCCATCTCCATGGTTCCCAGCACTGTGCGCGGCAGTGTGGCCACGCGACCTGCCATGGCTCCTGTAGCAGAACATATGAGCTCGGCTTTTATGATAATTGTTTTTTTACCCTTTTATCTGGCAATAAAACTGACACCTTTTTTTACGAGGAGTCATGTTTCAATATTATATCATATTTTTTACTGGCAAATGAGGTACCTCGGTTTGTATGTTCATATATATGACAACAATCATAAATTACCCCTTATCTCTATGTGGGTGGGGGGTCATTATTAGCAGCATATCCTTCTCATGGAAACCCTACAGGCAAAGCTCATGTATTCTCACATATGCTATTCACAAATACAATGAGTCAAATTCTTGGTTCTTTTGGTAAAGTCACGTAGAAGGGAAATAATAAAATAATATTATATAAAACAATACAAATTATCACGACGTTTCGACTGCAACACAAGCAATCATCATCAGGTGTGATATCTACAGCAAGAAAATGTATTATTTCCCTTCTACGTGACTTTACCGAAAGAACCAAGAATATGAATCCCTGCAGTCACGAAAGCTTTAAATCACAATGAGTCAAGTTTTTTTCAATAGCCACTGTATAAATTAAAATGTAACACCAAGTTATTGTGGTACTACGTAATCGGATATTCCTGTTCGAGCCACAGTGTGATTGTGGCCATACAAACCGAACTACGGATCTTGTAGCAAGCCATTGTATTCTGCACTCCTTCAAGCGAGGAATTGAAAAACCACACGAATTCTCTCCTGACGCCCTCTCGTCGTGGCCTGCAGACCTCGTACATTTCCATGTAGCTCCCAAATCATATTGCTGCAACATGCAAGAATATAAGACTGTCCGTAGAAACTTCTTTTTGTAATGTGGCACAATGTGTTTTGCAACGTTACACATTAAATGTTGCATAATAAACATCACCAAAATGGGTCATACTCCTGCCGTACAACGTTGGCAAAGGCGTTCTCAGAAAGTGCCACTTGATTTGACAATACAGTTTGTGGCTTTATACAGCACCTGATGTTGTGGGTCTATGAGCACTGCACCAGTGCACTATTTCTATTCTCGCCGACGGGAACATCTTCAGGATCGAGATGCTAATGTCCAGCCGTGCTCGCCACGACGAAGAGGGCTTCAGAAGAGAGAAAATTTCGTGTAGTGTTGCTATTCCTCCTCCGATGTACATGCATGTCAACCCCTTATTAGTGCCCTACCTTATTACAGACCAAGTGCTGCATGCCTTTATAAATCTCAACGTTCATCCTCCACGAATAGAAAAACACATTTGACTCAATTTCCCTGTACAAGAATACGGGTACACCGTATGGGTTGACAGCTATGGATGTAAGAGCGCATGACGACAGTGGTGCCCTCCATGATCCAGTTTGTATTGCACGATCACACTCGGGGCTACTGTGGCTTGTGTGTCTAATGCAGGGGTCGGGAACCTTTTTGACTGGGAGAGCCATAAAAGCCAAATATTTCTAAATATATTTCATTGAGAGCCATATAGTATTTTTAACGTATAATAAATTAAATGTCTTACTTTTAATGCGACTTCTGGTCACGGAACCCGTGACCCGAGAAATTTTATCTTCAAAACTAATTTGTTTACTTTAAATTGACACAGTATTATTAAGCAATATCACAAGTATTTTAAAATCAGTTCCAAACGGATTTTATTTTTTATTTTTGTTTTTCAACTCAAAATTGTCTGGGAGCCATATGCAGTCACCGGAAGAGAATTCCCGACCGCTGGTCTAATGTATCTCTAGCAGTCTGTGCGTGTCCTCCACGTGTCTGTTATCTTCTCGCTGTGCAGTTGTGGCTGACCACGACGAGAGGGCCTTCAGGAGAGAATTCAGAATTAAGTGGTTTACTACATGGGCCATAGTTTGGGTTTCATGGCCAGTCTGGGAGTTCGTGCAGTTTCACTCGTGCAGTTTCCCTATCATCTCCCCCTTCTGTTGAACGGGCACGGGCTTAGTGGTTCGAGAGCACGGAAACCCACAAATATCGAGATCGGTGTTGTTCCGTAGAGCGGCAGTGGTCCCAAAGGTCGTTTACTTGTCGATATTACTTCACCATTCGCTGCATCGCTACAATTCTCACCGCCACCAAACCGCAAGTGAAAACCAGCAAGTTGCCCTTGTACTCACCGTCTTACTTACACCGCCGAGGTTATATCGCGAAACGTCGGGCAAAGACTTTAACAAGCACAGCGCTTGGTTAAGCCACAGCTTTGGTTCAAATCGTTACATTGGCAGCGTGCAATTCATTGCGAACGCGGGCGGTAAACGTTTAGCGCGGATTTAAGCGCTCGTCTAAATGTGCGCGAACGAATGAATACAAGTGTAAAATCGTCGTAATTTAAAGTTTTAAAATCGTCGTAATTTAAAGTTTTAAAATCGAACCTCTTAGTCGCGGCCTGCAGCGTTGCACCCACACAGATGGAATCGACTGTAGCGATTCTCTTTACGACAACAGATTTCGATTCTGTAATCGATTCGTAACCGTCCGTCGACTCCGTTTCGCTTATTCTGTCTCGTTCTCACGACCGTAGTCGACTTAGCGTAACGCTTTTGTGCTGGATACATCAACGTAAGTGAATTGTAAATAATCGATAGTGACACACACGGTTCGTCGATTCGCGAGACAATTGCGATACGAATCGTTCGCCGCCGTCGCCGAGCTATTGGATGTTATTGGCTTGTTCTTCTGCACGTGACGATCTTTTAATAAATTATGTTAATTTTGTCACCTTAAAGTGTCGAGCTTGGCTGGTCAATTTTCCTATTCTTAGGTGTTTTCGGTAAAGTAACGTAGGTAAAAAATTTTAAATTAATTAAAATAAAATAAAAATCACGACGTTTCGGAGGCAACACAAGCTTCCGTCTTCAGGTGGAAGCTTGTGTTGCCTCCGAAACGTCGTGATTTTTATTTTATTTTAATTAATTTTAATTTTTTACCCTACGTGACTTTACCGAAAAAAACCCAAGAATATGAATCCTTGCAGTCACGAAAGCTTCAAATCTAGAATGGCAAATTTCCGTCAAATACCATATATGGCGATAATTAACATAATATATCCACAATGTAACGTGACGCAATTTCCCGTCCACTACCATATATGGTAATAATTAACATAATATATCCACAATGTAACGTGACGCAATTTCCCGTCCACTACCATATATGGTAATAATTAACATAATATATCCCGGATGGGCGGGTCTATTTGACATAATTAACATAATAAATGTTCTGCTGATTAACATAGTCGTGACGTCATTTCCGCCTCCCTCTTTCCCCGCACCGCGCCATCATGGGTCGCATGCACGCTCCCGGGTAAGCTCCGCTCCACCGCCCGACGCGGCCAATTCCCAGCCGTACAAACACTCGCACGCACGTTAAAACATTTTTTATTCACTCACGGTAATGACCGACAGTGAAGAAACGGATATTGTTAATGTCTTAATTAGATGTTGAAAGCGGCTACGATGCGGCCTAGTGCAGGCTCTTATCATGGCCGGCGGCGATGGAGGCCTAGCGTGGCTGTTACACTTTTTTAATTAAATTAAATGTTATAAAATACATGCGTGCGAAGTTGTCTTTGCGTTATAGCTCTCGGCGCGCTTTCCTTTGCTTCCGATGCTTGCTGCCGCTCGGCGCTGCTCGGCGCGGTCGGTGTGGAACAATCTTTGAGGCGTCCACATGGGCGCTTCTTAGGTTTCAATAGCACACGTTGACACGCGTTAATGTAAAAGTGTAACCAAAGTGTAACCTCTCGAAAGACCGAATTGAGGTAGCTTACAGCGATATACGTTTGGAGACATCGCGGTTTTTATCTACTTTGGGGGGTTATTCGACCATACTTCACGCAGGTTTGGGGAGAGGCCCTCGTCTCGCGATTAATAAAAAAAAATACCTACGTGACTTTACCGAAAACCTAAGAATATGAGTACTTGCACACCTTTCAGCTTTACGTGTTGCACTCATTCAATTAATCGTAACCAGATCGACGAACGCGCTTGAGCCCCACATCTTTCCGATGGAGACCTGGTGGGGGTGGGGTGGTGGTTTTATTGAACCAGGTTTTTAGCCCGAGATTCATATCCAAATTTTCCAAGTATTCACGTTTTCAGGTTACGGTGTATAGAAAACTCGGGCGAGAACAAAAAGATGCACAGTCCACGTTGCAATATTTTTTATATATCCTCACAATGATCCCACTTTGAGAGAATTTCTATTTTAAACGAGACTGGGTTGCATACAAAGTACATGGGGTACATGTGTGTAGTGGCGCCAGGTAATTAATGAGTACGTAATACAAGATGAATACTGGACTGCTGCAATAAAGATTCTAGTTTGGTACGTATTGCTATCGAAAGTATGATGGACTATGGGATGTGTTAATTTTGGTCCTTAATCTCGTACGTCCTAATATACTGATGTGCGATGAACATTGCACTGATGCATAAAGATGAAATGTTGAGTACTAGTCTAGCGTTTGGTGAGCAAATATGATGTACACTGCACGAGTGCATGATATACAAAAGTCTGGCATACAATTAACATTGGCTTATTACTAAATTATTGTTGCTTGGTGAACACTAGTTCTAAATGAATTTTGTAAAGATTTACAATATTGTAAAGAATTACAAACCTTTGCGGTGCCAAACAATTAAAAATATCAATCCAGTTCAAATAATGCACAATTCCATCCCTATTGAACGAGCTCCAAAATCAGTATTGGTAACGGAGTTGATTTCTAATTATTCACATCTCCTTTACCAAGCCATAGCTGGATGAGAGCTCCCTCACACCATGTTGGCCAAGGGGTTTGTTAGAGCATGCTTCACACGACGCTGGTCAGTGCGGTTGCTGAAAGAGCGGGGGGTTCAGGTTAAGTATTGATATCATTCGCCACTGACGTTAGCCCTAACTTGAAAAAACTTAGGTCATCAGCTTAATCGTGCAATTTGTTAACCCCACTGTGCCACCTCTCCACAGCGTTCAGGCAAGTCATTAACTTAAGCTGTGATAAATCCACTGCTTCCTGAAGCCTTCACCATCTCATAAGCCCTCAGTAGAGCTGAATAACTTTCAGTTGGAGTACCATTTCTTGAAAACTAAAATTATGGATATAATAAAATGTTTGTGATAGAGCACCCTTCATGCCAGGGCATCTAAGCGCTTTACATACGATACATTTTTTTTATTGAAGTTGATAAATGCAAATTTCAGAATGGGTCAAAATAGCTTAGGAGATGTGAAGTGCCAGTTAAAAATATGCACTTTCTAAACGTGTTCATACTTTTACAAGTACATAATGTCTTGCAACACTTTGACTTGTCGCTTAGTCGAATATTAACACTTTTGAACACTCTTGATTTGAAGCTTTTGTGACTGCAGGAATCCATTCTCTTTGGTTCTTTCGGTAAAGTCACGTAGGTAGAAAAAATAATAGATCACGACGTTTCGATCGCAACAACAAGCGACCGACGTGATATATTATTTTTTCTTCCTACGTGACTTTACCCAAAGAACCAAAGAGTATACTTTTGAACACCTGTTTACAAAGTCAAATTGTGTGCCAAGTGCTTCACTTGAAGCTTCACCACCTTTCTGTTCTCACCCATGCCAAAGCAGTCCAAGGTGGAAGAGGTAGTTTTTGTGTTGGTGACCACAGCTAAACCTGATGATTGGTTATTGTCACATGCTTATGGTGGTGGTAACCTTACCTGGCAGACACTAATGCTCACACTTGACCATGTCTTGTGGTGTCTGCAGAAAGGGCCTGTCTCAGTCAGCGCTGCCCTATCGCCGGAGTGTGCCAACAGTAAGTCACACAGTGCCCAATGTCTGGGAATTGCTCCCTGTAAAACATTACATACACACCGGATATATTTCTTCCTCAATAACGTGGGTGGATATTACTCTATTTTGTTATGCATATAACAGCGTTTTTGGGAAGGACCACTAAAAATTTAGACATTTGAAAATCCCACTTCACAAAAAGCAGGAAAGCACAAATCTTTCCTTGGATATACATGTCACGTGACCATCACATTGCATGTGCAATGCTGTCAGCCTTGCCTAAGCTACTAGCTCGCTGAGCTGTGGCTGCAGGGTGATATTAGAGTTGAATCTCCACGATATGCAAACATGTCACGAGCCACGCAGTCCCAATTTAATGTTGCTCTTAAGTACAGTACCATTGGATTGTGTTGCAGATTTGTAATTTTTCGTGTTTTTTTTCTTTTATATTGCCTTTAATTTTTGTTTCTAAAAGCATTACAAGCTGTGATTGAGCTAAACTTGGTCTTCATGGAAATGGGGTTTTTGATAAAAGAAATAGATATACCAGGGCACCCAACCTCTTTTATTGTCTGGTATTTCGAGGCTGCATTATACTCCACTTAATGCACATTCCCTGATGAACTGCTTTGTATCAACAGTGGCTCAAGCTGACTTCCGATGACGTCAAGGAGCAGATCTTTAAGTTGGCCAAGAAGGGCCTCACGCCATCTCAGATCGGTGAGCCCATCCAGTGCAATTGATCGTACAACCATTTTCACCACTGTATCCTGGAATGCTTGCTGCAATAATGATAGAAGTGATCATTTTCATATGCTGATTGTTTTTCCACGAGTGAGTGATGACTTTGTTTTCTTTTAATAATGCTTTTCCTTTGGCACTTTGCAATATGTGGGAGGATATGGCCTTCTTTAGAACATGCACAGGCAGTTTGAAGGCTGAAGATTGACCGGTCCCTAATCCCTAACCCTGCAATTTGGTTCACCGTGATGATTGAGTTCCATATCATTCGTAGTTTCCACCAGAAAGGCATCATCGCCTCATGTTGGCAAACACCTTCCTTGGATGTCTGAGTGAACCAAACCCACAGATGAATATAATATTAAAACATTTTCGTGATAATGCTTTGTAAATGGTACAGAAGCAGATGTAACACATTTGTAAATAAGTGCTAGACAAAAAAATCTAATATGTCACGAAAGCTTCAAATCAAAAAGGAAATAAAGTAAAACAATGGCATTTGCCACTGTCCCACCACGTAGGCCATAACGATAATTTGGCCACGAAATTTTTCCTGACCCCAAATTCTCTCGTCAAGGTGTGTCGAGACCCGTAAGGCGAAGTTCTTGAATTAATGGCACTGGGCATCCACGCCGCTGACAAACACGCCTCTCTTCTCCCCGCCTGTGCCAATCAGGCGTGATCCTCAGGGACTCGCACGGAGTGGCCCAGGTGCGCTTCGTCACTGGCAACAAAATCCTGCGAATCCTCAAGTCGAAGGGCCTGGCCCCTGACCTCCCCGAGGACCTGTACCACCTCATTAAGAAGGCCGTGGCCGTGCGCAAGCATCTGGAGCGCAGCCGCAAGGTACGTCGTGTGGGAGAATGCGCCGGCTGCTTGCGCTAGCACCTGGCGAAGGAGGTGGTGTTTTACTTTTGTGGGGGTGGGGAACCTACATCCCCACCTTCTAAGACTTAACTTAATGTCCTGTGGCCACATGAATGCCGGTCACTCCTCAGTAGCCCACAAAGGATATTTGTTTGTCACTGCAACCATCTCAGCAGCACTGATCGGGTAGTAGAGGAAAATATTGTGACCTCACAATGCTTTATAATTTCAGCGCATTCATTCTTGTTAATATAAGGGCCACATACTCGTCGACATGCACATTATTTATTGCTTAATTGTATAACGCCAATTTTTTTGTAATTGTGGTCTATCAAGGGTAATTTAAGTTCCTTTTCAGCCCTTGTTAAGGAATAGGTTCCTCCATAACTTGCACTATTGGCAAGGTATGCCACTCAGGTTCGGGGAGTGAATCTGAGTGACATTTTCGTGCCACTCTGAATCAACCGCAGTGGGAGTCTGGTTGTCAGCAGCACCTCCCTTGGGCGTCTGCGTGTGCCACGGATTTCTGTTAATGACAATGAAAGTGGAAGTATCGTTTAAAAAAACTGCACATTTTCGAGCAGTGACGTTTAAGCTTCCTTTGACGAGAGTTTATTTTTCACGCACTTCTTCTTTGGCTGTGGCAGTGAAACGTTGTGTTGATCTCAATGTCGTGCCCGTGTATGCAAATGCACGTTGGTGCATGCATGTGATGTGTGTTTGTGTATGTTCTGTGTAGGATAAGGATGGCAAGTTCCGGCTGATTCTGATTGAAAGCCGGATCCACAGGCTGGCACGCTATTACAAAACCAAGCGTGTGCTGCCGCCCAACTGGAAGTAGTAAGTATATTTTTTTACGACTCTTTTCTGGCCTGCAGGTTTCGGGTGACCACTCAAAAAGGTGTGATCTTTATCATGCTGTCCTTGTGCTTGAACCACGTTGATACTGATAGTCATGCCACCCTAATTCATTTCCCACCATTTGCAATAACATAGCAACTAAAAATAAACCAATGGCCATTCCAGTGCATGTCTTTTTTTGCAAGTCCAATCAGATTAAACACGATGCGGTTCATGGCGGGGGGGGGGATGACTTGATTACACCAAAGTGGTCAGTGTGTGTTGGTGAAGAAACATAGCATGTACCCAGGGCGCCACAGTGGCGAGATGTTAACTACCTCACCTGGTATGCTGGAATGTAGGAGGTTGTGAGTTCGATCCTGACCCTAGCGCCTGTATATTTGAAGTTTGAATGTTCTCCCCCGTGGTCAAATGGATTTTTCTCCAGGTCCTTCGGTTTTTCCCTCCACTTTTAGAAACACGCGTTTAGAGTATTTGGCTGCTATAAATTTCCACCGTGATAAGCTACTTTGTTGAACTATCATTTGTGGCCAGATCGCTTCTGAAAAATAATTTTATATAGGTCAGTGGGCCTTACCTGGTAAAATAAAAATAGGTTAGGTACACAAGTATCGAAGTACATTACTAACAGTTTATATAGTTTAAAGTGGTACATTAAAATTACACCACGTATTTGCAATTGAAGAAAGAGTTGTTTCTGTGTTGACCTATTTTTCTTTTTTTTTCCTCCACAGCGAGTCATCCACGGCTTCTGCTCTGGTCGCCTGAGTCAGGCGTTTGTTTCAATAAAGCATGTGGCTCACATGATCACACCATCTCGCGTCCTTGACCTGTTTCTGTGTGCACTCGTGTATGAAAGAAACTTGCACATTAAGTGTTGTATTGTCACTTGTCATTTTGACTGCTTTTGTTTAAGCGACATAGAATGTGCAGGTTTTCTTAAGCTTGGCTCTCACCCTCCACAGTTGCAGGTGCCAGCCAGAACTTGCCCATTTACCACCGTACATCAATTTTACATAAAAAAAATATCTTTTGGTCCTGTTTAAAAGCGTAAGAGTTGACATTTCATTGCCACGAAGAAAAATCCAATGTTTGCACGTAGTTAAACAAACCTTGTTATGATTGTGGTCAGGTGTGTTGGTGCCAGTTTTGTTCAGGCTTGCATGCATGTAACAGGGCACCGACTTTTATAAAACCCAACCCCCAATTGTTCACTGCCAGCGTTTCGGGTAAGTGACTTGAATTTCAGTTCTAGGTTTCGGGTCGACAAAGTTAAACATTTACCATTTTAGTGTACTAATTCCAACTTGGGTGCTGAAATGTTATCTCCCTAGGCTGGTATGCAGGAGGGCATGGGTTCGATCCCCGACCCTGACGAGCCTGTATATTTTCATCTTGGTTCTTTCGGTAAAGTCATGTAGAAGGGAAGCAATAAAATAATACAAATAAAACATAAAATAATTACTTCCCTTTTACGTGACTTTACCAAAAGAACCAAGAAGATGAATCCCTGCAGTCACGAAAGCTTTAAATCGAAATGTATATTTTCAGTTTACATGTTCTCTCTCTGGTTGTGAATGTTTTTCCAGGTCTGATTTTTCGCTCCACATTTGGAAACATGCTTTAAAATTGTTTGCTATACATTTTCACCTGACATCCACTAAGTTGAGCTATGATTTGTGGCAAAGTCGCTTTTGAAAAAGAGTCAATTGCTCAGTGGGCTTTACCTGGAAAATGAACTAGTTAAGATGGCTGATGGTGGCTTTGGCTGCAGTATCACAACAACCAGCCGTTTCCTGCAGAAAAAGCCCAGTGTTGACATTTACTATCTTTGTGAGAGACCAAGAGGTAGTTTGAGAACACCGTCAAATGTTAATGGAACTGAAATATTCCTAATCTAGTTAGTGTAAAATCTTCTGTACAATATTAATATCCTGAATCCAACGGACTGCGGTTATGTGCTTTAAACAGCAAGGACCACCTTTTAAAGAAATTAACGAGTGTCACTGTGGACAATATAAACAATCACTGTAATGTGGAGCATTCCTACAATATGGTAGAACTTGGAGCAGCAATGATATTTGAATATGTCCGGAGGCCATCTGGGGACATTTTAAAAAGAGACATCGGTCTCCATCCCCAATGAACCGTGATGTAGTGGGGGTTGATTGCTTGCTCCAACATCGATTCGCTCACAATCGGTCTGTAGCTTTGTATCGCACCTACCGTGGTAGCTGATTCTGTGAGCATCTCGACATGAGACCATCCACGTTGAGGACTCTTCTTCCAAACGATTTCGTCTCGTACATACTGTGGTCAACTCGCATAACGCTTACTGTGTTCATCCATAAGAGGTTTTTGAGTTAGATCGCGTAATGTGTCGTTAAAACCCGCGACTACCCGACACGGCCAACTAGTAAGGGTCACACGTAGACAGAACGTGGCCAATTCGTCACTAGTACAGCACACCGGTGTGTTGGAGAGCCAAGCCACAACAATTACACCGAGTACGACGTTTCGCCAGTAATTGCAACCATCTTGTGTTCAACTAGCATAACGGGTCATAACATCTAGTTGCATCTACTCGGGCACTGCTCAGTCCCATGCAGAAACGTATTATAAAGCGATGACACTCAAGCTGTTTATATTTTATCGGGGCCCACTTTTTTATAATCTACCTAGCCGCAAGAGATGGCTCAACGAAGCGGCTCATTGCGTGGATTTTTTAGCAGCCATATATAAACGCACGTTGATTCTGAATGAGGAGAAAACCGGAGGACCCGGAGAAAAATCCACGCGACCACAGAACATGCAAACTTCACATATACAGCAGCAGGCGTCAGGGTCGGGATCGAACCCACGACCTGCTGTATACTAGGCGAGGGAGTTAACATCTCGCCACCGTGGCGCCCAATATTAATATATATTACACTTTTAATAGGTATGTGTCAATTTCCGGGCGCTTGACTTATCGTGCTCGGCAATTGTAAAACATATATCTGCTTGCTAACGCATGCAACCCCCATCGCTCGCCACCTTTGCAAGAATCGTGTCAAAACGTGTGGTTCGCATTCCGTCGGTGCCGTGCTCAACGCGGTCGCTTTTGAAAGTCCTGTAATTGCACAAGACCGTGCCCTGGCACGCGTCCAATGGAACGGCAACATCAAAAAAATACCCACGAGCTGCTGTTGGAAATAGCCGCCGAACGAAAAGGAGAAGTTGAGCCTTATACGCGAAGTTTCGTTTTAATATGGGAGGGGTTCGTTGTTTGGAGGAGTCTATTGAACTGGGGTTTTCATAAATTGCGGTTACGCAGGGACGCTTTTGCACGAATACATTTTAAACGCATATACATAGTTCGTGACTCAACAACCACAAGCCATGATCAGTCCACCGCTGGATGACAGCCATCTCGTAGTTCGATGTATATCGATCCGCAATGGCTCGTGCACAGGGTGGGGGGAGGTTACGTTTCAAGGCTCCGTGTTCTTAGACTGCCACTCCCGTCGTCGTCGTCATTCAACCACCACCACCAGCTCGTCATCCCTTCTAGCGGCGTGTCCTGTCCACGTGCATTTATTTCTAACAGCGAGGGTGGTGCCTTTTTA